AGTCATCGGGCTCCGTAAGCTCTGGTCACGTGCATAAAAGTATAATTTAGTCTTAACCCTTCAAGCAAACATTGTTCGTTCCTCAGAATTTTCTTCCTGACTTATTCCTACCTATCGTTAGAATCGGTCCCTAGCTCAATTTGTATAGCGAATATTCGTTGGTTATGTTAGGATTATTTGCTTTTCAAACGAGTTATTTTTCGTAGATATATAGAAAAACTTGTTTTCGAAAATCCCCTTAATAGCTTGATGTTGAAGTACCTTTCCTTTCGTTTGAAGAGGAGAGTGAATGGGATTCGTAAGTTGGTCTCAACGTGGTTTGCTTTGGATCTGTAACTGTAGATTTGTACGAATAAATCCTCGATTCATCATCTTGCGTGATGAGGTTTTGTCCGCCATGTCACGGACATCTTCAGAGCAAGTCACCATGCTTTACGATTATTCACCAAGCACAAGAACAAGAAAGGTGACCGGCTATTGTCTTTGTTCTTGGTGAATAATCGTAGAGCATGGTGTCCCGTTCTGATGTTGTTAGTCACATGACTAGCAAAATCTCAGCAAGAATTCATTTGGGTCTCGAGACGGTCAGAACAGGACTTGTTTGCACAAATGTACAGTCACAGCTCCAAGGCAAACTCTCTTCGACCTCAGGTGAGATCAACTTACGAATCCCTTTCACTCGCCTCATCAAACGAAATGAAAGGTACTCTAACGTATGCTTGTTTTATCATGAATAACTGGGTTTAAGGGAATTTTTAGAGTTTTTTTGAGTAATAAAGTCTTTGTAGACAAACTTCACAGCAGAATAGAGCTGATTTCCTTGCAAGTATCCACTCCCAACTTATTGACAGTTATTTCTTTCTTAGCAACTCAGCTCAGGAAGTATAGGCAGTGATGAGGACGATGTGGAGGACGAGGACGATCTCACTGGCAGTGCATTTAGTCTTTCTGGTTGTGAGCATGGCAGCAGCAGCACTGGCCTCCTCGAAGGCAGCGCTGGTAGCCCCGGAAGTACTGAATCGGGCCGCCCTGGAGTTGATAAGCGGCTTTGTGCACATCGGCACAGTCTCACAGGGTCAAGCCAAGAGGACGCTGGAATTGGGCCAGTTATTTCTCCAGCTGCTACTGAGGAAGACAATTTTAGTATTACTGCCTTAAGCAATGGAGCTGTGATGCCAAATGCAATATCGCTTGCAACCTCCAAGAGTGCCGTTTACCAATCCTCTCTCTCTGCTATCTCTTCATCACAAGCTCCCTCACCCCAACGCACTTCTCAGACAACAGAGGCTTCTGATCTTGCTATCATGCCTAATTCCCTTTTGCACTGCGTCGAAGCCTATGCCCATACCTCAATACGACAGCTTGAACTAAAGGAAGCTATGGACCATCCTGCGACTCAGATTCCCCTCGAACCGGTAGATATTTAATGAATTTAGTGCTCAGATAATTCGATCGATTTTAATTGTTAACTTATCATCATAGCCATCACTGCATCCATTCGAACTTTAAGATTGAGTATATTTCAAGATCTATGCATCCTTAAAAATATTAATTTTATCCTCAAACCGAATGCCAATATGTATATCTTTAACTGAAATGATTATACTAAAGTGTGAAGACGAAGATGTGGTGGCCTTTTAGTACATTGGTGCTCTCTTTTCCTTACCTAGCAGGAGTTAAACCTCGTTTTCACAACTTGGCCTTATTGCCAGAGCTATATATATAAACGAACCTTGTTCGGAGTCCTCTGCCATAGTATCCATTTGAATTTACAGCATAAAACCATGGACTTGGTACATTCCCAACGTTTGGTCGGCATCTTAAGTAGACCTTGTCAGTTAACATCACGCTAAAGCTTATCAAAGAAGCAAATCAAGTCGATTTTTTGACCGACTGTCTGCTGAGCAATTGTGGTATCTTCTGTCCTGATGAATTCACCTAATTTATATCCTTGTATCGCCGCACTTACTATTGAAATTTCTTACCTGCCTTTTTAAGCGGATTTGGTCAGGTCTATTCACTCCACTGGCTCCCTCATCCCTTCTATATTGTGCTGGAAATTTTCATCCAATTGCAATAGGCTTCATCTAGGTCCTACCAGAGTCTCTATCGCTCCGTTAAATGCCTCTCCCTTATGTTATTTCACTCAATCACTACCGTTCTACTCGAGGCATTATTTCCCACATTCAACCCGTTTTCGTCCGTAACGAAGGGGAACGTCTCGTGGACTGCGTCAACCTGAAGTAGAACTACGAGTCTTTATCATGTACTCTCATACGAATTGGAAGTCTCTACAAAAATTCCCACAGTCTCTTTGGCGCACCTATTATCTAGACTTACTAAGCAGGCCCTAAAGTCTGGAATGTCCTGGTGGTTCGGCATATGCAACGGGTAAATCTCATTGAGCCCCACCACATTTATGATCGAACCCGTTTACTGTAAACTAACTATCTCTGTTCATTGCCACATCGCTCTTTTTATTTCTAATATCAGGTTTGACGTTACTTCTTTTATCCCTTAATAGAATAGGGTATCTCGCCAATAAGTGCTAGCTTCGGTTGATTATAGTTACAAACAAAATTATTGC